TTCCTTCTTTCCTTCTTTCCTTCTTTGACTTTGAGAAGTGGATTTGTGTTTTGGGTTTCTTTCTCTTTTTTTTGGGTTTCTTTCTTTCTTTCAAACATAGGTTGACTTTGAGAAGTACATTTGTGTATCCTGGGCCAAGTTCTTCTCCCATTCAGTGTCTGTGGGCCAAGTTGCAGGCCACATCCAAGTTCCCCATTTCATATTTAGTTTTCAGGCATAAAAAGGGACTGTCACAGGCATTTACTCAGATTTTCTGTGCTTATCATACACCTCAGAGATCCCTCCAGCGCTCTGCTCCAAGTCCTGAGTCTCTCGGTCTGGCTGGTCAGAGATACAGGTTTGTATCCAAGGTCTGAGGTGGAGACCTGTCTCTGTGACTGAATATTGGCAGCAACTGATCATGAAATCTTTCCAGTGCATGGAAAGGTTTCCAAGGAGACTCCAGCTGACTCCACCTGGTCATCTCCGATGCACAACATAGAGGAGATCTAAAACTGCAGCTTATTTTGCTATCCTTGCTTCTGCATGGTTGTTTGCTTTAAGTAATTGCATCTCATTTAATTGTGTTTTTCTAGATAGTTGATCTGATTATTAATTTATGGCATACCTTGCTGCCTTTGCTGAGCTTTCCATGCTGTGTCCCCTCATTTTTATCTTCTGATGCTCACTCTCCAAGGACCTTTGCTGCTGCCTGAATACCATGTTAACCTTGGACACCAGATTCTTGTTCTTTTACCCCAGGATCCCAAATCACCTCTGGTGAAAGCTGACATTGTCTTAAAACCTTTGAATCCAATATAAATGATGTTCTGGACTTGGAAGCAGGAGGCTACCAAGCTTCTCATCTCCATTTGTGACCAGAAATGCTCTAGTACCTTCTCCAGCCCCCTCATCATCTGCCTCAGGTTTCAATGCACCACCAAGGGAGGAAGAAAAGCTCTTCAGACCCCCCAGCAGCCCAGCTAGAAAATGTTCCAGCCAGAACCAGTTTGTACTGATTTAGCAAAGTTTTGAAAACCTTAGAAACTGTTGGTCCAAGGCTTGCCCCTCCATGGTAAGGAGACTCATGCAACCAGGAGCCTTTGAGGATGTGCCCAGCAAAGAAAGTGCAAACACTTGATGGTGAATATTATGAAATCTGGAGAGCATTTTAAAAGGACATTTAAATATTTAACAGTGACAGAGTGGCTCAAAGAATTGCCCAGGGAGTAGCTGCTGTTTGTTGAGAAAGGTCAAATAGCAAACTGCTGAGGACACTCACACCGAGCCAAAAGTCATGTTCTCTTTCAGGATGGTGTATCTGATCTGCTCAGGTCAAACAGTCATCCACGATTTTGTCTGCCTTGCTGAGACAAGAACATTTTAGGAAGCTAAAGCTAGAGCTATGACAAGTATTCAAAACACATCAAGGAGACTCCAAACTGTCTCAAACCTGATTTCAGGGCAGACATCAGAAAGTATTACAGCATTTTAATCCTTTGCTTGACTTGTATCATATTTTTAAACTTTTTCTGAAACCAGAAGCGCTGGAAGCTTCACTTCAAAAAAAAGGGGGAATTTCACCTAATGTGATCTCAAAGCAGAACTCTGAATAAAAAGTGAGTGCTCCAAAATAAATAAGTTTGAGCTCAGAAGTGGAAAAAGAAAAGTGTTTCTTCAGATATAACCAACTTAAGCATGGTGGCTCTGACTTTGCCAGGTGTTCTGTCTTTGTTGGTGTTCACTATCTAGACAAGTTTCTTTCTGAAATGCTGTAGGAACTTCTCAGTTTGCTCTCTTTTAGCATGACATTTAAGGAACTGGACAGTAAGTAATTCTGAACTTCAAATAAGCCTTTGATTTCACTTTAGGCTTCTCAAGCAGATGTTGTGACAGGTATGTAGGTCCATGGTAAGCAATGGCAATCATACAGATATTTCCAGCTATTTTGTAGCCCCTTTGTAGCTCTTCCACAGTGTTATGATCTAATTCTCACCTTCCCCTCAAATATTCCCCAATCATGAGACACTAAATTTGGATTCATGATTTAGATCAGATAACAGGAAGAAAGTCTTCACTATGAGGGTGGTGAGGCACTGATACAGGTTGCCCAGAGAAGCTGTGGATGCCCCTTTCCCAACCATGTTTAAAGCCAGGCTGGGTAGTGCTTTGAGCATCTTGTCCCTGCACATGGCAGGGGGTCGGTGTCTTCTACCCAAAATGTTCTGGGGTTCTATGCTGCAAATCACACACAGCCCCTTCTTGCATTCTCCATAAATACAAACTAGGGCCCCCCACAAGCTTCCCAGAAGGTCAGAAGCTCCCACATCTATTAATCTGCTAATGAGGCTTCACAGCTTTTTCCAAGCTCAGAAATGCAAAATGACTTTCTGTGAGTCCTGCCCTGTGCATTCCTTTGCAGCGTTACCATTGCCTCGAGGAAGTGCCAGAGTGAGGTACTTGTCCACCTGCAAAGGCAGAAGCTGAAAAAGCTCTTGGTGGGAGAGAGTATGGGGGAAGGGGTGGAAAGAGTCTGGTGAAGGAAGACTTGGTGATAAAATTATTATTTATTTGCACGCAGGAGCAGCTGACAAATCCATCCCGTCTGTGCTTTTTGTGCAGCATTACAAAATTAGAAAGTTGTTTTCCAAAGAACATAAAACTGCTGAAGAACAGAAACTGAAGTGCTGTAAATAGTGCTGGGCCCTTTGAAGCCACAAAGAGGAGACTGTTCTGCTGGAGATGCCAGCCCTGGGAACACGGCTTGCCTTTGTCCGTGCGTCATTATGCAGCAGCTGGCGTGCGCCGAGCACGACTCCCAGATTTGTTTGTGCTGCTAACCCAGGACAAAGAAGGGACAGTGGCTGCCTGGGAGTGGTGGCCAAGAGAATTCTGGGTCCTTCAACCCACCTGGCTCAATGGGGAAATGATCTTCTGTAGATACACGTGGAAGGGTAAAGAACCAGTCTGCAGGCAAAATTTGCTCAGATTATCAGAGATAATTGTTTCTGTTTTGTCTTAGGAAGAATAAAGAAATCCCAGTTCTTTTTTTAGGAGATGCAGCTCAGTCTCTAATATCCTTGTCACCAGGGCCAGTGGGTTTTGCAGTGGGAATGGTGGCAGCTGACATGAGCACCCCCTGGGCTGTCCATGACTCCTGAAAACAGCATTCCAGTGCTCTGTTTGAGCAGTTGGGCTTAAAATGCAGCTGAGGAAGCAACAGGCACGGATGGGGTTAGTCCTGAATCTGGCTGAAACCTCTCCATGGATACACCCTAAGGGGGAATCATGGGGTACTTTGACTGGACACAGCTCCCCAAAGGTGTCACCTAACAAGAGATGGTTGAACTGAGCCCAAACACACAAGACAGCTGTAGGAGCCCATTATGTTTAGTCTGGTGCAAATGCATATCTTTGGGGAATTTAGACCCCATCCTACACCCCTGTCTGATTCCTGGATGGATGGTGTCTCGCCTTGACACTTGGAGCTATTTTCTTCCCCCAGTTGTCCATGGCTGGGCCTCAGCTTTGCACAGCCCCTGCTCAGCTTTCAGTGCTGAAAGCAAGGAAGGTTATTAAGTCCCACTGACCTTCAAAAGAGCCCCAAGTGAAACCCTAACAACGTTCTTAATAAAGGTGCTGGCTCTGAAGGGTTTTGTCTCATGCACCTCATGCCAGATAATGGCACAAGAGGTGCTTGTAAATGGGAACTTTATTAAACTTTATTAAAGGAGTCACAGGAGCGAGGGCTGCACCTTTCAGCCTTGCCCTGGGAGAACCACTGCATTAAAGCTCAGTTTTTAAATTGGGCAATGGAAAGCAGGTTTAACCACTCACAGTGATTTTATCACATGTGTATGCATGGAAACATTTTCTTAACTAATGAACCCATGGTGAAGTGGTTAATTGATTTTAGGTGCCTGGGAGCCTCCATGCACTGCCCTGATTAATTGCCTGCTCAGCTTTAATCTGTGAACGGCTGCAGGAATGAATGTCCCGGGGAGTCAAGGCTGAGGACAGACAACCACAAAACAAGAGGGTTAGGCACAGTTTCACCAAGGAACAGTAGCCAAGATCTGGGGGAAAAACCTGCCAAGATCATCAGCTGAAGTAAGTAACTCAAGAAGGAGCTGGGCAAGTTTCCAGAGCTGCAGAGTATGAGGTAAAGCCATTAACAGGATTTTTGGTTTTAAGATAATGAGAGATTGGTTAGTGATTGGGATTTCCTGGACTCCTGAGGCTTAGGAAATACTAGAAACACGGATGTGGAAGGCTGGCCTTGGGGAAGTGGGCTCAGGGGCTGCTCTGTGTGCCAACAGCCAGCCTCCCCTGGCCCAGTGCCCTGCAGAAGGAGGTGCCTGGGAGGATCTGTGTCACGTTGGTGTTCCCAAAGGGAAGGGAAGGGTGAGCTGCCCCATTTGGCCTGGCACTTGACAGCCATGGGGCAGCAGCTGGTCTGTACCCAGAGGAGGATGGAGTTACTCCCAAGGCAGGGGGTCTTTCAGCTATTTTTATTATGTTCCTCCTTCTTCCAGTTGTTTGCACAAGGGACGTTGCGCTTTTCAGGGACAAAAACCAGACAGTAACCACAGGAGCACGATGAGGTGCCTGCTTACAAATTGAATCTCTTGGAGGTTTAATGCCAAACTCTGCATTTGGAGAAGCCTTAGAGACTTTTTTTTCATTGTAAGGGTTGTCCAGCAGTGTTGCGGTGAAAAGAAAGAGGACTGCATAAAAATGAATTGACCACTGGCTGTGGGCTCTGAGTCCAAGCTGAAATGGTCAGTGTGTGCTGGCACCCTGCTGAACAGCCAGCAGGAGCTTGGATGATGATGGATTAGCCATTTCATTGAGCTTCTTACCTGTCTGCGCCCTTGGGCTCCTCCTGTGTATCTGCATGCTGGGGGCTGGAGCTGGCCCTCTCAGAGCCCACCAGAGATCTGCCATCGTGCTGCCATTTGGAGCATGGAAGCCTGGCAGCCAACATGTTTGCCATGCCCACTAGGAGAGGGAAGCGAACCCCCAAAATCCTCTGGTTGCTCTCTTCTTGTTATTTTTTTAAAAAAATATGCACAAGATACAAATAGCATAAATTAACAAAGCCCATCAGCCTAAATGAAGAGAGTTATCTTCAGGTGGGCCTGCAAGACAGAGCTGGACTTTTCCTAGAGCACCTTGTTACCATGAGATTGTGTCAAACCTGGTACAAACACGTACCATTTCCTCTGGCTGGGCAAGGGTTAATGTGATTCATAGAATGTTTCATGCCTTTAAGCATTTTCCATAAGCAAATGATCATTGCAAATTTTTTTTGCTGCAATCACCAACAGACCAAATAAATATTAATAAAATAATTAGCATTTCAGAAAAGGGTTAAACCACACAACCAACCAGCTGTGTCTTCACAAACACCACAGCATCTGAACTGCAAAAGTAACGTTCAAACCCCATCTGTAATGGAAAAAGTTACTTTTATGCCTATGCATAGAATTTCTGTCTGTGACTCCCTGAGGAGGTTGCTTCATCTTGGCATTTTTCATTGTTAACCAAGGCTCCATGACTGATGAATACTTGGGAGTTTAAGTTACTAGAAAGGGATACTCAAATACTTAAATATTTGTATGCATTAGCCCTTGTTAAATTAAAACTGTTTTAATCATGGGTTTGTTGCAAGAATCTTAATTCCTGTCATGACTTAATGTAATCCTGTACCATAATACTTTAATGCTGAGAAATCCTCTGCCTGTTCCATTTTTCACCACCCTTTCCTGTGGGATGCATACCTGCCTTACAGGGGCTTGGGAGCACACTGGCACATCCTCCTTGGTGTGGACAAAGCTGGCTGATTAGCATTCATATGAAAATATCAATTAATCAATCATGTATAAGGTTAAAATCAGCAAATTCTTCCCACCTGCAGTGATCCTGCTGAAGCAGGAGATAAAAAATGGGGAGGAATGGTGTAGGATGGGAGCTGTCACCCTGAGGCAGTGAAGGAGAACATTAATGGCTACACCATTCATTAGGGACATGGTGGAAAGTCAGCAGCAGAGACTGGTCCCTTATGGTTTGGGTCCAGACCCACTCAAAACTCTGGAGATTAAAAAATATTTAAAGCCTGAACAAATGCTTACCTAGATTTGGACAGAGTGTGACACTTGAGTGATTCAAAGGGGGTTGGTTAGGGTGGTTTTTAAAGCCATGAAGTGTTGAATTCCTGTTTTGAGGAAAAATTGACTAAGCTTTGACCTTCATTGCCTTGCCAGTCCGAGTTTCCCACATTCACACACATGCTTTTCCTAGAAGAAGTCATCCAGAGGAACAACGTGCCTTTTGTTAGGAGGCTCAGTTAAATAATGCTGCTTTCAGATCCCTCCACGGCACGGAAAGAGCTCAGTGCCCTTTTGGTTTGCTGTCTCCCATTACCTCAGGTTAGGCTGGGCTCTGCAGGCTGTGAGCTGACAGACAGGAGCCTCAAGCCTTCTGAAGTGGTGTGTTTGTTTTTGGAGCTTGCACAGAGCAGGTCTCAGCTCCAAGGCCATGGAGGAGCTGCCCTGCCAAGCCTGGGGCTCCAAAGGGTGGGAGGAGCTGCTGGGTGGGATGAGGAGACACCAAGTCTGGAGTCTGACACCTACTGAGACCCGCTGACCACAGCACTCGAGAGGAACAGAGGATAGAAAAGAGCTCTTTTTAGGGTCTCCTCTGCCTCAGTCTGTGCCTGGGCACACTTGTTCTTGGCTCTTTGCTTTTGTTTGTGGCAGCTTGGCTTTGACTTGTTTCCTGCCTCCTTCTAGCCAGCCCCTCACATCTATTTCTGCTCTCATGTATTTTAGAAAAATAACTTCTTCTCTCCTGGTTTCCCCCTTCATTTTTGCTGGTGGTGGTGGTGAAAGGAAGGATCTTTTCCCTTTTTGTTTTCACAGAGAATCACTACTGCTTCCTTTTTTTTTTTTTTTCCCCATCCTGCAAATGAGGCTCACTAATGAGAGCACACACCAGTGCTCAAGGAGGAAGCTTTTAAACCCCTCTGTGCTGGCTCTGATTTGTGTAACGGTTTTGGGGCAGGTGTGGAGGGCACAAACAATGCCTCAAAAGGCTCATGTGACAGCCCTCTGCAGGGATCATGCTTAGGTGTCAGGGCAGACACCTGCTGCAGATGCTTGCTGTACATTATGGTGTCCTGCTTTAGCAAATCACTTGCACAGTCTTTTAGCCAAACCATCTGCATGAGGCTGAGAAGGGAGTGCAGGGTCTCATGGAGGGGACTTGCAGGTGCCAGTGGGTGAGGTTTAACTTGTGTGACTGTGCATCTGCCTGGCAATCCTGAGACCCCCCTTTAGGAGCTGCACTAACAGGAAGGATGATAAAAAAAGGTAAAGGCTAATGGACTGTGAGCTGCTTTTGACCAAACACCAGGATCTTTCTGCTGCTTTGTAAATCATTCAGATGCATTTATGGAAATGTTTTGCTTATAATTTGTGATTCCAAGATACTAAGATGCTAATTTTAAATGATGTTTTAGCCTTTGTCATGATCTAGTTCTAACTGAATGATTTATCTGTGATATGCATGTTGATAAGAACTCACAGTTGATGAATTAAAAAGCAGAGGAGAAAGGACATGTTTTCATTGCATTATAAACTCCTTAATGACTTCAGAGCTTTGAAACCACGTGATTAAATCTTTAATAAAACAATTCATACTTGTCTGCACCCAGTGCACAAGCAGCATTAATGCTGGCCCATGTTTGGGTATGGATGCTGCAGTTCAGGGCTTGGCTCCTGAGTGTTGGGGTGTGGGGCTCCTGCTGTGTTAATCCAGATCCTGGGTATTTTAAGATCTTCAGCTTCCAACCTAACCTGCCTGCAAAAGACCAGAGCCCACAGGCTTCTTGATCTTGTAGTACTATTTGCAGCAGAGAGAGCAGTGATTTGAGGGGATGGTGATATTCTTTTTCTGAGCTGGTGCCAAAGGAGAGGAGAATTTTGAGCTACTAAATGTACTATAACACAGAGGGAAATCTGCTGTTTAGTGGACATAGGGACCTTCTTGAGTGCAATGGCAATTGAGGGGACTTTAAAAATATAAGAATGGGGGAGAATAAGGCAATTCCTCAAAAAATATTTTTAGTAGCACTTCCAGCGACTGCCCCCATTTCACTCTCCATCAGTTCAGTGCGTGTTCAGTGCTCAGCTACAACCTTTGCAGCAATTTTTTTGAAATCACAGCAGGAGCAGGAAGCAATCTCTGTCCTCTTCAAGTGAGAAGACAGTGGCAGAGGAGGTCAGTGCTGACACAGGGAGCAGCTGCAGTGTGGCAGACCCATGTGCTGCAGGTCAGCATGGCCCTGGGCCAGCATGGGCTCCACTCTGCTCTTCCTGACACGATTGCTGCCCTCACACACCAAGCTGGCAGCCAGTTTGGACCATCTCCTCACTTGGGGCTTGCTTGCCCATCTGTGCCTGCCCTTGTCCCTTGCTCAGTCCTTGCCCCATGAAATCTGTGCTTAAACTTAAATACGGCCCTTCTCCAGGGGGCAAATGTATTGATGGGTGGGAGGTCTCTTTTCCTCTCACATCTGGTTTGCTCTCTGGAACTGTGCCACACTGAAAGTGGGTCATGTCAGAAAACTGAGGTGTGAGGAGAACTATGGCAGCTGTATCACTACTCTAATTTTTGCTGTTTTGGTCACACTATATGACTTCTTTCTAAAGGGATGCAGTGAGGTACTCAGTCCTCAGTACAGCAGAGAAGGAGGACAGAGTTTCAGTGTTCCCTGTTACCCTCCTGAGGAATCTCAAAGGAGCTGGGGGATAGCAGGAGACCTGCAGAGCAGTTTCAGATAATTCTGATGGAAAAAAATATATGGTTATTTTGGTGCATCAAAATTCTACCACACTTCTTGCTCCTGAATGCAACACTCAAGGGGAGCATGCTTGCTTCTAACAAATTGCATTTCTTTAAAAACCTCAAACTTATTCATAATTATGAATTTGGAAACCAAAGTAGGTGACCTTGCAGCTGTTGAACCAAGCTGAAATGCAGATGTTGGTGCAGATGGCATGGAGCATGATTTAGCCATGACGACAGCAAAAATATGTGGGACACCATTCCTCATATCACCCTGCAGTATAACACATTTTCCTAACCATGCATGTTATTTGTGGACTTTTTCCAGACCACAGTCTGCATATAATATTGTCATCTTACTCAGCCTGGCCAGGGAAGCTCATATAAAGTATTCATTTAATGATTTGAACTGAAAAGGCTGTTGCTAAGAATGGGCTTTCTATCAAGTTCTGATACAAAATGAACTTTTTTTCCTTCATATTTGTGAGACGTGTTTAGTTTATAGGTGCTGAGTGAATATTTCCACCCTCAGTAAGAGGTTCCAGAGACCAGTAAATTTTGGCTTGTGCTAGAATGAACTTGTACATATTTAAAAAGCAAGCAAGCTCCTGCAATTTGTATGCAGGGAACATTCTAGTCCCCATGCCACTGCTCCATGAGGTTAACAAGCCTCAATTGGTTCTGAGCACGTGCCTGGGAAGTTTATTTGATGCCTGTTGCTGAGGAGGAGGCTTAAGCACAAGAGCTGAAGGCTCATGGCTCTGATGTGGTGCCAACCTTGGCAGATGGGCTCCATCTCTGAGCCTGCCCATCCTCAGCCGGGCTGGCTTTGTGCAGCTTGGTGCCCACAGCTGGGCCTGGCCAGGGCATGGCACAGCTCCCTGCTGCTCTGAGAGCCTGGTCAGGGCATGGCACACCGCCCTGCTGCTCTGTGGGCATGGCACACTGCCCTGCTGCTCTGTGGGCCTGGCCAGGGCATGGCACACCTCCCTGCTGCTCTGTGGGCCTGGCCAGGGCATGGCACACCTCCCTCCTGCTCTGATAGCCTGGCCAGGGCATGGCACACCTCCCTCCTGCTCTGATAGCCTGGCCAGGGCATGGCACACTGCCCTGCTGCTCTATGGGCCCAGTGTGCCTCCCTGGGCACCCTCTCCTGGCCTTGCACTGGGGTCATTCTGCTGCTGAGGCTGTGCCTGGTGCATCTTTCTGGCTACTTCATCGGCTTTTCTCACCTCCATCCTGCTTTGCTGGTCAAGTCAAGCCAGCTCAGAGCGCTGAGTAGGCTGAAAAAGAGGAATTTGTCCTTTTTTTCCCCTGCTTGCTCTCTCTCCTTATGTTTCTTTTGGAACTGAGAGAATCCTGGTGCCAGGTTACACCCGGCTTGCAGGGATCCACAGCCCAGGCAAGCAGAGTCAGGGTCTAGTTTCCAGCCCTACCTGCATTTGCACACCTCAGAGTGTCCAAATTAAAACTGTATGTGATGGGTGAAAAAACCAGGGTCAATATCTCAGATTTTTGGGTTTTTTTTTTGTTTGTTTGTTTGTTTTTTTTACATTTCCAACTCTCAGTATATTTACTGCCATGAGGTTTTGCTTGATTAGGATCACACTACAAGTGTAGTAGCAGATCTGTGTTCTGATACACAGAATTTTTCTGCATACAGTCACTCCAGATGTTCAGACTAAGGATGTTATGAGTAATGTTCAAGTATCTAGTTTTTAAGAATAGATTTTCATTTTCATGTTTAATTGTCCTGTCAAAAGCTGGAGAATAGATGGTCATGAAAATGAAGTTATTCAATTTTTATAATTTTGTCCTTGTCTTTGAAAAAAACCCACCATCACTTTCATGCTGAAGAATTGCTGAGTCTCTTCTGCAATCTTCCCTCATACACTTATTTCCCAGAAAATGCAGTTCACTTTAAAACATTTTATTCAGTGACAATGTTGTTCACATTGACACAGCAATCTCAAAAACAAAACCACTTCTGAATTAGGCAATTTATTACCTGTTTATTTTGGTGGTGTAAAGCCTGTCTCCTGGAAGAGGAAATCTTTCACCTGAAAGCTATTTTTTTTCACCTGCAAGCTATTTTTGTAGGGGAATTTGTTTGCTACAAATTGCTGTAAACAATCTGACATGCCTAAGTGAGACATTGCCTGCATTTGCTCTGATTGAAATCTCATCTGGCTGGACTTTCTGGTTTTCTTTTCTTATTTTTATTTTTAATTTTTGCACCAAAGCTAAATAATAATCTCAAAAATGACTGTGTAGTGTAACTAGCTGGTTAGTGGATATGAACACAGTACATACAGAAACAGAATTAGACCAAAATCTGCATTACAAGAGGTAATTAAAATAACTACTGCTGATGTGACTAATGCTATTAAAGCATTAGTGATAGGTCAGACCCTGCTCCAACTGGCAGCTCTATTCATTTGCTGAAACAGGCCCTTTCCATAAAAACTGATGAGTGCAAAAGTGCCTTATTAAACTGTGAGAAGAGATGAAAAATACCTTAACATGCTTTCAGAGGGGATGAGTGACACACAAAGCTGGTGCCTGCTTTGCAGTGAGAGCAGCCACTGGGGCTGCTGTTAGGCAGACAAAGCCATGTTACTCTTAAGCATTCCACTAATTAAAAATAAATGCATATTAGGAAGCTCTGCAAATCCCAGGAATGTGAAAGAGGAGTGTTTGCTGAATTTTTGAGCAGTGAACTAACCCTGCAAGTCCTGGTGAGACAGGGAAAAGCACAGTTGCTTCTTTGGTTTCCCTGGGGTAGCGATGGGCATTACAGCAGGTGAGAGATGTACAGCCTGGGGAAAATTTTGCCCTGAATTTTTATGATTTAAAGAGACACTGTCAGGTCAAATATGCTCTGCAATGAAATGTTATTAAAGCCCAAACCCAAACCCTTTCCTTCTGAAAATTAAAAAAATGTTTCACTCATTTCTTCTCCCTTTCTCTCAAAATCTACTGCAGGGTCTCTTCCCCCCCACTCGAGACAGAGCCCATCTGCAGTGCTGCATCCAGCTCTGGCCCAGCACAGGAGGGACACAGACCGGGGGAGTGAGGCCAGAGGATGGTCAGGGGTCTGGAGCACCTCTCCTGTGGAGACAGCCTGAGAGAGATGGGGCTGCTCAGCCTGGAGAAGAAAAGGCTCCAGGGACACCTTCCAGCACCTAAAGGGGCTCAGGAGAGCTGGAGAGGGACATTTTACAAGGGCATGTAGCAACAGGACAAGGGGGAATGGCCTGAAACTGAAAGAGGGCAGGTTTAGAACGACCACCCACTCCCACCCACACTCATGGTCACACCTGGCCCTGGACATGGCTGTATCCTATGGGCCCAAGGAACAAGAAATAGAACTCAACAGACATCTCCCAGAACAAAGGTAAAACCAAACACTACAGAAAGGTAACTGTAAATGATGTAACTTAATGAAAGGTAACTGTAAATGATACTTATACATGAAGTGTAGTTTAGAGGCATAATCAAACAAAAGATTAAAAACTGGATTCATCATAGTTTTTCCTTTAAATAGTACTATTTTTTAATGATAAAGATAACAGTATTTTACTGCATTTAAATCTAAGGTGAGAAAATTTATTCACACAAGTAATGTAGAAAGTGTACAGCGCATCTGCTAATTAACTGCAAGAAAAAGGTTCTTTTTTTCAGGACTCTGGCAATGAAGGCAGATGTGCTAAAGAAATTTCCATGTAAACACACATTTATTAAGAGCATTACCAATATTTCAATTATTTATTGCATTTAGTATCTCGTTATTTGTTTACAGGACCAAGATATTTTTATTTTGAAGCACACTTCCCCTTAGTAGCAGCATCTGTGCGTATGTGCATACATGTGCATTTGTCCTGCCAGGGATAACCTTCTCAACCTTCTCCTCCCAATTCCAAACAGGAACTGCATCTTCAATCTCTTTGTTTTTACATATATAGTTATCATAACAATGCTAACAAGACTTTGAAAAATGTCTTCCGTCCCCCTCATGAAGAGTTTGAAAGCTGACCAGGCTTCAAAATTCATCCTAAACAAGGGACATTTTTGATGCTCTGGTGAAGATTTTTGCTGTAGGATTGATGGACTAGAGAATGACCACCACAAGCTGGACCTTTTAAAACACCATGGTTGAATTCAGTGAGACCAAATTAATTTGCCTCCTCCCTTCTAAAGATATTGCTCAAAGTGCAGCTTGATCAACTGCAGGACTAAGAGAAAAATTAAAAGAATTGCAATTCCTCCTTCAGATTTTTATAAGCACTCTTCCTGAATGTTCTTTTATTCAGTTACCCTGTAATTAGTATCAGTTATGATGTACATCCCCCACACCAGCTTAATTAAATCATACATTCAATTCATTGAGTATTCCACTGTTCCCAAAGAACTACAAAATAGCTCTTCTTTAGTAGATAAAGAGGAATTATCACCTCATGGGACAAGCCAAACACCAACTGATTGAATCATAAAGTAAGTCTTTATAACTAACTTGGATATTAAATACATTCTAACACAGATATCTTGCTAAAATACTTTTCCCTCTTCCTTTATAAAAAATAACTTATTTTTTCATGCCTAAATCTCTCCTCCAGTTTAACCTTCAAATGACCCAAGGAAAACAGATGGTGAACATGCTCCAGCAAAGCTCTAGTAACCTTTTTGTCCCCTGATTGAAGAGTCACCCCCATGTGCTGAGGCCATCTCAGTAACAGTTCAGTGGGTGCAGCATCATCAGCAGTGCAAAGGAGTTGTGCAAAGTTTCCTTCTTGGAAGCACTGCCTCTTGGGTTCTTAAGAGTGTTTTGATCCTTTCCCCTTACTTTTCATAGGCAGAACTGAACCAATTTATTTCTGTTTTCTTTTACTTCTTAACGGCCACTTTCTCTGGCTCTGACAACTCAGAGCATGGTGCCTGATCAGATAATGAATGTTTACATGTGATGGTCAGTGTTTCCAAACTGCTCCATTGTTCCCAGCCTCAGGGTGAAGCCCTGATGCCCATCAAGACAAGAAAGCAACAGGATAGGAAGGAAGGATTTCCTGCCTGGCAAGAGCAGCCCTGTTTAAATCAGAGATGGAGTTAACCACCCATTCAAACATATGCACACGAAACACTGACACAGATTGCCTGGATCTGCCTTGCACAGGATTACCAAATCCCAGTGAACTGTGTTTAATGAAACAGGATGAGATGATTCCATAGTGCTGGCAGCACGGCAGGCAGAGGAATGATCACAGACTGTCCTTTGTTTGTTTGTCCCTCTGGAAAAACATCCATTCTGTCGCCATCCTCTGCCCTGCTGCAGCCCTTTGAATGTGCTGGGTCGCTTGAGAGATTCTGGGGAAAATTTACAGCCTGGCTGTCATGTAGATTATGGTTGCTTGGCTGATTAAAGAAGGGTATGTATTTTCTTAATAATTGTGTTTATCCTCAACTTCAGGGTTTGTACCTCCAGCAGGAGTGGGTTTCCTCTTTGAATTCACACCTGGTGACACCAGTGATGCTTAGGCACTTGACAACAGGGTAGATGTGAAAATCTGCTGCAAAATCTGAGGGATCTCTTTGGTATCCATGGCAATGAAAGACCGACCTGCTGGCAGTGTCCTCTGCAGCCTAGGGAGCAGAATTAGGGACAAAACACAATTAACACCTCAAATTATCTCCCCTACCACAAGACAGCATTCTTCACATTGCTGTCACCATACTATTAAAGGTTTGGGAAAGCAACAGAGGGAGAAACATTGAGAGCAGCTAGGGCATAGAGTTCCTTTCAGCAACACAAACAAGAGTGTTTCCAGAGATTTCTAGAAATCCATGTCCTGTTTCTGACATGCCAGAACTCCATTTTGATCAAGGTACCGGTGGTCCCCATGAGGCACCACCACAACTGGTTTGCTGAGGACAGCTACAGATTTACACTGGAAATGAAGACACTTACTGTAAATTGACTACCATGAACCCACAGCTCTTTCACAGCTCTTTCAACAAGTCCAATGATTCTAACTGTGCTCTTTATATTTCTTAGACATCACTGCAGATTACATGGAAATGTATTCTTCTGCCAGTATTAACCTGACATGTTTTTATTCACAGCTTAACCCACCCTTAAAAGTCAAACTAGATGCGTGTCACAAATCCCATCTCCCTCATGTCTAGTTAGAAGGCTTGGGATTTATTTTTTCTCTGCTTTTTACAGGAGATTTTGCTCTATACTATTTCTCCAAGTGAGTAAAATTGAGTAAAATCTCCCTTTTAAAATTAGTTTAAAAAAAAAAACCTGCAAAAGAGTTCTTCTCCTTCCCCCACAGCAGTTATAGGAAGGCTTTGTCTAATTCTGCACTTCCACATACATAGAAATGCATTTCAGTGATAGCACTGTGGGCATTTTCCATACCCAGTGAGCTAGGCCATTATAAGATCTCTTACATAGCAGGATAGGGTCAAAGACTATTTTTTTCTTTTTAAAATTCCTATCAAAAGTAAATGGACTTTCTGTAACTATAATATTTCAGAATTGATTCTGTTTTGATTAACACAGCTCTGATCTACAGATCTGCAGCCTCAACTCATGGTGTCTGTGCAGTTGTATCTTTCAGCACTTTACTGCTTAAAGTTATCTACTCCCTTTCAGATTTCTCTCATTCTCCTCTAGTTGAAGACTCAAACAGAAAATACACTGTTGATATTTGTGGCTATACCAGCTTTTTGCTGCAGGTACTGCAGTGGCTATGGAACCTGAAAGAACACCTATGAAAGAATTTCTTTTTTTTCCCCTTGTGCCCAAACATTTTAAAGTGAAATTATGTAGTAGAACTAAACCCAGGCATATTGTGTCAGACACTCCAAAGAATTTATGTTTCTAACACAAGGGGTGTATCTGAGTTAAACCTTTGGCTGTTTGGAAGACAAATTAAGTCCAGCATTTTTTTGTTTTAATCTCTTTTCTTAGGCCTACACACACTGGAACCATATACTGGGCAATAACAAAGGCACTATTATGGTTACATGGTGACATTACATAAGGGTATAGTGCACATCCAGCAGCAGGAGGATGGCATCAGCTGCTCCCTTTGGATGCACAGGATGCTCTGAACTTGCTGGCTATAAGGGATGTCTGCAGGATCCACAAGCCAGTCTCCTCCCTGCCACAACTCAGGAGCTACAGCTTCTCTCCAGTACATTAATAACGAAAATAGTAAAAAAAAAGCGTGAAAACTCGGATGTGACCTGTCAATGTGCATTGGCAGCCCAGAAAGCCAGCTGTACCCTGGCTTTCTTTCATCAAAAGCAGCACAGCTAGCAGGGAGGAGACTGAGACCCCCACCTGGAGTGCTGTGTACAGCTACATGGTCCTCAGCACAGGAAAGACATGGACCTGTTGGAGTGGGACCAGAGAAGAGCCACAAAAATGGTCAGCAGGATGGAACATCTCTGCTATGAAGACAGGCTGAGAGAGTTGGGGTTGTTCAGCCTGGAAAGTCCAGGGAGACCTTATTGAGGCCTTTCAATAAATAAAAGGGGCTCATAAGGACATAGTAAGAGTTTTTACCGGGGCCTGTAATGACAGGATAAGGTGTTAAACTGGAAGAGGGTAGATATAGACTGGATTTAGACTGGAGATGTGGAAGAAATTTTTACAATGAGAGTGATGATGCACTGGCACAGGTCATCCAGAGAAGTTGTGAAAGATGTCCCTGCTCATGGCAGGAGGGTTGGAATAGATTATATTTGGAAGGTATATATAGTATAGTTGGAAGGTATAATATATTATAGTTGGAAGGTCCCTTCCAACCAAACCATTCTATGATTTTATGATACTTTGACCAAAACCTCGGCGCAGAACAACAGCATGGGCAATTCACTGCAATAAAAGCATAATTGAGATTAATGCTGAATGAAAGCAAACAGCACTAGGCATAAACCACTTACCTATCTGCCTGGTCTCCCAAGGATCCTATAAATATGGCGAAAGCATTGACTTGAGTGTTGGTGGTCAAGACCTGTGCGAATCTCGCGGGCGGGATCCCGTAACGCTCCAGGTTTGCGTCACTTAGGACGATAACAAAATACTCGTCCGCCTCCTCCTTGGCGATTTCCCGAATGGCATGCTCTGTCCCTTCCAAGGTATGGTCTCCACTCATGCAGAACTGGGCGTGGGCATGCATGGTCTGTGTGCACAGCATAACCACGTGGGAACACGTCAGGTGACTTTAGGAACAAGCATTCATTTCAGCTAGCACAGGAGGGAGTAAATATTCAGTGCTGCTGTATTAGGGATCCATCAGAAATGCAAACAGTGCTCCAGAGAGAAAAGAAGATGCAGCTTTTTGTACATAATATGTCATATTTTAAGACAGGCAGCACTTCATAAAAATGCCAGTTGGTCAAGCAATCAAAACCCACACAGACTGGGCCTTAGGAAAGGTAAAATACTTTGGTCAGCTGCAGTTTGAGTAGATACATTCCTATGTATTTTAAGAAGAAAACAGGTTCCTAATGCTGTGAACAGCTCCTGCATGCTCCCAATTTGCACTAGACTTCCAAATCCTAGTAGTGTCTTAGCTATTATCAAACATCTGATTCCTGACAGTGGCAGTCACATTTAAAAATGATAAAACATTTTGTTTGAGCTGTTACAAAAAAATACACAATATTCATCAATGAAGCTGTTACCTATGTAGAAGGCCAGGAATTTTAGATGTTACTAAATCAGGTTCTTCTAATCAAAGGAGCTATTTTAAAAACAGTTTTTGAAAGAAGCTCAGATACATGCTTCCAGCCTATCAAGCTGCTAACCACGTAAACCTACAATATACTTAATTTTTCTTCTTCCTACTATATTAGTAGGATGAAGAAAAATTAATATTTGGTGAATACACTCATTTTGCCATTGTGATTTAACATGTTTCCAATTTAGCACTGACACATTTTCCCAGTGCTACTGTGATGCATTATTTTTCGAAGGTACCACGCTAAATCACTGACCTGGGATCCCTCTGCAGTTTTGAATGAGTCACTTGTGCACTAATAATATCACATGATTTGGGCAGAGCTATCTATATCCCTGTATAATCTCTGGAACTTCCCCTATCCTTTGACAGGAAGTCAAAATGACACATTTAGGGCGTAGAAGTCCAGAATAAGGCATACCCAGCTTCTACTATTTTGGCACAATGTGTTTTCTGCCATGTCTCTGTAAGGTCCTGTTACATTTAAGGAAATACACAGATTTTTGCTTTCTTGAGTTTATTTTACTACCATCATGTTTTGTATTCTGCGACCTGCCTACAATTTTATCTTTGCAGTCATAAAATCTTTAATTATCAGCATTGCTTTTACCTTTAGAATCTCTAATCTTTGCTTATTGTTCTTGGGAACTTTGTCACTCCCAACCAAGGCAATGTTGAAGCCATCTCCCGAATGTCCAACGATGTCGTACTACAAGAAAGAAACATCATCAGTCACCTGTTAGTCACAAGTGGCCCTTGGCTCATAATGACATAGGACAGATCAAAGGCAATTTGCAATTTTTAACAGAAGACCCCAAGTACTGTTCCCTGTTTCTGTCTATGAGCTGTTTAAGGGAACTACTTGCAATTTCTCACTGACATGAAAACATAGGAAAGAACTGCCAAATAATGAAATTAAGGAACAGTTCCTTATTTCCATGATCTGTTTTTCACATCATCCCACCAACTGCAGATTGGTGATGTGTAAGATCAAGACCTTGTCCTCTCACATTGTCCACGTATTTCTTTTAAAGCAGCAATTTTCACCCTCTTGAGTCTGACAAACAAGAAGCACATTGTTTGAGAGTAGCTCCTATGTTTGATGAATCTTTTTGGTGACCTCATTCTGCTCTGAAAAAAAAAAAGTATTACAAATCCCCTTTCTTGAAAATCAGCACTCCTTATTTTTGTGCATAAGAGATCAAAGCCATTGTTGAAAGTATGTGGAGAAGTGAATTCCAAGAGCCCCTGTATGTTTTCAAAGGAGATGGTGTGCACATCATTCTCCTGTGAGATGCTGCAAAACTGACATGTAGAACCACAATAGTTCAAATATCCTGGTGAACAAATAAGGCAATATTGCAAAGGCCTCTGTTTCATGTGAGAGCTTCATTGTTGTTACATGAAAACCAAGACAAGCTGAGTTATGGCAAGGTCCTGACCTGCCCTTTGTGTTGTGGATGTGGCAGCCACCCCAGGGAGAATTCATGAGCAGGACAAAAACGGATTTAAGAGTTGCCAACACCAAGCAAGAGAGCACAGTGTACAGAATCTGAGCCCAGAGAGACCTGAGCTGGCAATTCCTAAACATGAACATGCCTGTATTCCCCCCTGCCTGACAGGAAGCTCTGATGCAGTATTTTACCTTTCTGTTTTCTTTTTTTCAAGTACTGTTACAGGTTCCTGCTGGGTTCACCATCCCTAATTCCCACATAATCATTTGGTAAAAGGCAGGTCAATTCCTCATAGTTTTTCTGTCTTTTCTTTCCTATTGAAAGACACTTTATTTGGTATAAGTCAGGTCCTAGAGAGAGGAGAAATGGCAGTCCTTACAGACAAAGCTCTTTTTGTTTCCACATCACTAATTTGCTTAAAAATGTATCAAAAGAAAGCTAGAGCAGCTGGAACAGCACTTTTAAAGGTGACACCTCACTCTGTTAAAGAGTAAATGTACCACATACTGCAGATTATTTCACCCAAGGTCAGACCATTTTATGACAGCCCCACGTAAACCAGACCTCCTTCCCCTAGGAAATCTTTATATAATCTAGTCCCCACACAATCCCATTTCTTTCTGCTCTGTTGGCTTTTCCCATTTCTGCTCTCCTCAACTCTTATGTGCCTAGTATTTGCTACCAAGCCTCACCTAAAGCTTGCTGTCTGCCACATGCTTTCTCTTCAAAACCTATTTCTTATCACCAATAATTCTTCAGACTCTCTCTTTATGGACATGAAGGCATGGCAAAAGAAAATATACAAATTTTGAGAATAATCTTGAGGTTACATTCAACATACTTCCTAAATAAAACAGGAATATATCCTGTTTAATAAAATCTGAACCACACACAGGGAATGTGTGCATGAGTTTTGTTTTAAAAATTAGAGACTATTCAAATCAGAGGAACTAAATAAAGCAGAGGTTTAATGGAGCAGAAAATATAAAGTGCTCGTGGTTCTTATGCAATGTCAGAAAAGCCCACACATCTTCAGGGTAGGCTCTTAATTATGAAACCTTGCACATCCTCTGCTGAGCAGTTTTGCATTTGGGATCATTTTTAAATCAACAAACTAACTATGTAAAGCAAAATGCTGCCATTCTCCTGTGTAAAAAGGCTGATCCCTTCATAGAGGGCTCCTTCCTGGCTTCCTGGATGTCTCCCACTGGCTGTCCTTATGTCAGCTCTGCCATACTGAATTCATGGGAATAAGCCAGACTGCTGTTTGGGAATATCACTGTGGTTCTTGACATAACATCAGTAACAGACCAAGCTTTCATCTCAAACAGTCTGAGTTTAAACTCAGTGTGACAGCCTGTGTAAGGGGAATTGCTGTATCTCCTAATGAAACCTTAGATGTTGACCCTACAGCAGGGCCCCCGTCACATTCTTGCACAAGGCGGGAACAGACAACCTGGTTACAGGCGAGGCGAGGCTGAAATGATCTGAACAAACTATTGCAGGCATGGAAAGGCATCCACCTGGGAACATCATGTCCTGTCTGCTCCCTGCTCAGAGAGCTGCTTATTATTCTTTGTGTGTGCCCATGCATGCACCCGATACGATACGTGCGCTTATCTTTAGCAGATGTTATCAGTTTCCTTGTTTTTTTGCTGACAGCTTACTATGCTATTTGTGATTTAAAAAGCTTTGGTGAGGCAGCAGGGAAGAAGTGGCTATTTGATTCATCCTGACTGCTGCATTCTGGGTCAAGTAGGGCCTCCTGAACAGAGTGAGATCCTGCTGCGCTGGGGAAAAGAGGAGCTGTGGTCAACAGCCCTCATGGTCCTCTGATCCCTCTGGAAGCCAAGTCAAGGACCAGGAGTAGCCAAAATCTAATGAGTGTGAGTTTGGTTTTGGGAAGATCAGCTCCCCGAACTGTGAGGCTGGATGAGTTCACAGCAAGGCAATGTAGCTGCACTGACTTGGATTGACTTAAATCAACATCAGACTGCAGGCTGGGAGACGCTCCCTGGGAGGGGGGAGGCTCACAGCAAAGTTCTAGAGGTGACAAAACAGACATGTTTGCCCAGGGGAATGAATGGAATCTGTCACAATTCAGGAAAACAGAGTTTGGGAGAGGAGCAAAACTGGAGCAAAGAAGCTCACTCTGAAATGGCAAAGACATAAAATCTCTCCTGCAGGAAATGATTACCTCCTCCTGATCTGTGTTCTAGTAAATGAACCTCTAGTGATTTCATATTTCCTTGGTGCACTCATTGTAAAGAAAATATGCAGACAGCTCCTCAGTCCTGGTCAACATGCAACCCCAACACATGCAGGCACATGCAGACTTTGTCAAAACCACTTTCCTTCCTTTGCAGTAGCTAAAGACAAGCACAGAAGAAGGGCCTTTGAAAAGCAGAGATCCAATCTAATGCTTTTTCCCCATAAATTCCCTAAGGAGGATTTATGTGGAAGGAGTTACAGTGAGAGAAAAGCTGTGATACAATCTTACTCGAAAATTACTTCGGTTTTCTTTTACCAAATTGCAAGCAAAGGCTCTCAGGACAAATCCAGAAGCAAAGTACATTTGCCATAGTGCAGCTTAATTGAAATAATATATTATTGTGGTACACCAGAGCTTGTTTTCCAATAGCCTCAGGTACACTGAGACAAGGACTGCCCTATTCAGTGTACACAGCATGTAAACATGCATCTCGAAATAGCATCATTTTGTTGGTTTCTTTCCATAGGAAATGGTTAATGCAATCTCTGTTCCACTGCCACATTTTGAACTGAATGGATGGTTGCTGCTGCCTAAAATGGGTAAAATGGAAGACTTTGTCTTCTGCAGCTGCCATGCCAAAAGGTTTAATTTCTGAAGGCATTTAAAAAGCTGAAAGAAGATGTGTGCTGAATGTAAAAGGCAGTGTGAATTAGACTCTGCTGGAGGGCTAGATCTTTACAAATTCATCTCTTCTTTGGACAACACCGAACATTCTATTTTTCTGAATTTATTTTAAACCTTTTGTTTATTATTTAAAATAAACTATTCTGCCAAACATGTGGACCATTTCTTCTTTTCCTGAATTAGCAATGCTGCCTCCACAGTAAATTTTACAAACACAGAATGCTAAAAGAGGCATATAAAATCTTCAATATCCCTTTAATATAGCTATAAATAACAATTCAGGCTTTTCCTAACAGTTACATAATATGCTATTTACTGAGTCACAATAGTTTTAAGGCTTCATAGAATTGCTGTTGGATAATTTACTGGACATGCCTCCTCAATCTGCCATTATGTGTGCAAATCACAGTAACTGGGGATGATATAAAAACGTACAGTTTGTGACAGACATAGTACTACCTCAGATAAAAAAAGAGAACTTCTGTGCATTGTCAAACAACTGGCACCTAAAATGGGACGTTCAGAAGATAGACCTCCTATTTTCCCCTTGACAAGGAATGATTCACTACCTGCACTTAGGGGAAATGGAAGTAGGGAGGATGCCCCCATGAACATAAAAAGCTGAAAAATACCTGCTGCACTTGTCTGACTTTATAAATGGTAACTTCATTACCTGCTTGGTGCAGTCACATACCCAATACTCAGCTATTCTGTATAAGAAGACAAGAAGAAACTATTTTCTACCTTCATTTTCAGTGCTGTTAAGATCATCAGAAAATCAACATCATTCTTGATACCAAGGGGTACCACCCATGAGGAAAGCTCAGCTGGGTAGGATAAAACAGCCAAGAAAAAGCCCATCTGATTAATTCAAAACTGTATGTAGCAGAGAAGTAAACCAAGCACCATCAGAAAGGTGATCCTGAGCAAAAGCCAGGAATTGCTTTCCAAAGTCTGCACTGCAGTTAGATAGCTGAAGAGAACTTTACTATGTAAATCCGTATTGCTTAACAAACTAGATGATCCCCTTGGTACAACACATGTTTTACAAGATAACCCTCAAATCTGCAGCATATGTTGTTGTGAGCCGTGCAGATGGAGCTACAACAGGAACAGATAACAGCAGGCATATCTGAAGGGCAAAAAAGTCTATTTTTATAAAAACAGGGAAGAAGAGAATAAGGAAAAGGAAGAAAGAAAAAAAGTGATATATTGCAGATTTTTAATTGAACACTACAGAGTTGTGCGTTCTTCTTTTTCAAATGGTTTCTCTCTTAAAGATGAGAAATGTATGCTACTTTTGCACGCATACCAAACCTTCAGCTTTGTCCTGAGAAAAATCAGCAGCGTCATGCAAAGTGTCAAGAGTTGAACGGAAGAGAGTCAGTGATATTTTGAAAAAATCACTGCTCTCCTGCTCTCTGAAGCCTGACCCATAGATTTTAAAATCACGGGACTGAAGTGAGTTTGTAATGATCTTAACTAATTCTCCACAGTGTCCTGGCTGCATGTCAAGTTCTACATGTCATTCCTTTAGCATGCACTTGAGGGTTCTGGGTTCTCAACTTTAGAGCTGCACTGGAAATAAGGACAAATAGCTATCTGCCATTGTCTTCTCCAGTGTTATCCCTTTCTAAGCCATCTTCCTCAGCTGTGTGAATGAAAAATAATTTATTGCTCAAAATAAGAGCAGAATGAACAATTGTCCCCTGGTCATCATTTCTGTTATATCAAGGCTTTATCAGCTTCTTGATTTTTATCTCTTCCACACTGAGCAATTCTTACTAAGTAACTTGCTTAGTTATTTAGTCATTCCTTGTACAGGGACACTTCCATACCCTTTACAATCTTTGTTACCCTCTTTTCTTTTTCATTTCTACAAGAACTTTTGTGAGATGGGCGAGCAAAATCGCACACATTACTCCTAAAGTGAATGCACTATGGATGCTTATAGCAACATTATCATGCATTTTCCTTTCTTCTCTCTTCTCCTAGTAATAGTTTAGAACATTCCATTAGCTTGTTTGACAGCTGGTGAGAACGGAGCGTTCAAAGAACCACACCAACATAATTGCAAGACATCTTTGTTGGGTACCAGTCTATAGCTGGGAGTGAGGACTAACACAGAAAGCTGAGACTTTCTCCCTGTGTATTTAAGATCAAAACTATTTTCTTCCACCTGCAGTACTTTACACTGAAAATCACTAAATGTCACCTACCATTTTACTTCCCAGTCACCGTTTATGGCTAGGTCCTTATCCAACTGCTCGTAGCTGGACTTGCCTTGTTACTTTCTTAAATAACTTCACATAATTAGCAACTTTTGTTACCTTCTCATCTCCTTTAACAGATCACTCATATATACAGAACAACAGAATAGCATGGATGCTGGCACAGATCCCACCACAACTCCACCACTAAAAAATGACCACCTAGGCTGATTCTTGTATTTTTAGCAGTATTTTCTTAATCTAAGGGATTTTTCTTTTATCCCCAAAAGCCTCTGCAAGGGACTTTGTCAATTGCTTTTGGATAAGGAGACTCTACCAACCAACCAACCAACCAACCTTGCTTGTCAAACACACAGACACCTTACTTCCCTTTACAAAACCATGTTGACTACACCACAGTACATGATATTTATACTTGTGCCCACTACTTTTCTGTGTGGATGATCCTGCATTTTGCCATACTCATATCTGTGTTGCTCAGCCTGATTTACCAAGTTACACAAATCATGCTGCATAATTGCACTGTCACTGTAAATATTTGTCCTTAACTTTTCTATTATCAGTGAGCAGGAGATACATGAACAGCAGAACCAATAAAGCCCTGATTTCCAATTATTTTTTAAATTACATTTTAGTTCCAATGTGGCTTCTCTGGGCTAAGGTAGAAGCTTATGGTTGCAGCATTTTCCTCCAGCAGGATTACACAGCATCACTCTCTACCCAGTATATTTTCATTATGCTTTCAGTAATGTGACTTTGGGAGGAAAACCATAGTTTCAAATTTGTTTGAAATTCTGAAACATGCTCCATTTAATTAAGTTTAAGGGCAAGAAAGCATTACTGCCAAAGAAGATTGTAGGACATGCCTTGTTTTCTTAGGAAAAAACTAACGCCTGTCTCCTCTTATATACTTTTCTCTTGAAAAATAGAAGCGTGCGTGATTAGGCTTTAGAAGACATTCAAAAAGCACATGCCTGATTTTGTACATGAGACTCTATGGAAGCACAGAAACCTGCAGAATCATGTTGTTGGAGGAACAAGGTGAAGCAGACCTGACTGAATTGATCTGGATTAAATTTCTATTAACTTTCTTTAGGAGATTTTATGTTTTGTTCAGATATATTTTAATTTTTATGTTTGATATGCTCTTCAGTAAAGGTAGTGGACATTTCTATTCTTCCATTAAACACAGTGTATGTCCAGAATTAACTGGAGACTGCCATTTCTATCTTCTTTATGGCTAAAGAAACATGGTCTAGACCTTGTTTAGGCTTACTGAGACAAAAAGAGCATTAAATTTATTTCCATTTCATTTGCAGGCTACCATTAAATAAAACCTAGTATGTTTCAGTACAAGAAATCATTTCTTGTTTTCAGTTAACTAAAAGAGGGAAGGGACAAAGAAGTCTGGTCTCTTCCCATGACCAAGTACTGATGTGTGCACTTGGGGCGGATGGAAGGACGTCGTACCTCTGCATGTCCTGAAGCTATATTGTGTTTTGTAGGCTTCAGTGTTTCTTCTCAAAGAAACAGATAAAACCAGAAAAAAACCCCAGCAAATCTCACTAAATCAAAGTCCTAGATTGAATACTCCCCTGCTGAAATGTGTAATGTTTCCTACCCTCTCACTAGTATTATTTTTCAGGTTGCCAGAAATAGATTAATGTCATTTCCTTGTGGGAATGAATAATATTCTTTGGCTAGACTCACTGCTGAAACACTTTTTCCAGTGCTGCACACAGGCTGTGCAATAACCCCAGAGCTCCCAGTCCAGCTGCAATTACCTTGAATTTGTGCTCATAGTTCTCAAAAGCTTCCATGACCATGCAGACGGCCTCCATGGAGCGCTCCAGGCGCCCATCCACGCCGTTGAAGCGGTACATGCTGCCCGAAACATCCACCACCAGGCGCAGGCGCTTGGGCTTCTGCTGGGGGCTCCCCGGCTGCCAGGGAAACACCACAGAACTCAATCCTCAGAAAGGGGAAAGCTAAACATCAGTAAAAGTAAAATATTCCAAAAGGAAACCCAATGCACTTTGCAAATCAAGAAAATTTTATCCAGTAAACACTGTTTGGTTTTGCTGCTGTAGTTTTATTTTTCTAAGAACAAAAAACCCAACTATTTTTCTATTTCAAACCAGTTATTTGACAGATAACTCAGCTCATTGCTTCCTCTTACCTTCAATGACTGGAAACAAAATACCTCAAAACATTCCACACATGCTTGTCAGGAAAAAAAAATTCTGTTTCAGTTTTGATTATTAACATTTTATTTCAGTAAAGAAACTCTCAAATTTGGCAGAAAGAGCTCTTTCTGCTCTTTTCTGCCATTTCATAATGGAAATGCTTTTCCTTGGCATGTAGTACTAACAGTGACTGTATATGACTGCAAAAACTTGTCTGCTGAGGTTAATAACATTCCAAAAATGTTTGAAATCTTGTTCTGATTAACTACTAGTTCCATCTTCATTCTAATGCTGAAACCATTCCTTTTTTCTGAAAACAAATTCCATCTGTTCTAACAATTTTTGGCACAGTACATTGAAGGGAGGTGTTTTACTTAGCATGCAATGAGATGTGTCTGGATTTAAGTATGAGGCTATTAAAGATGACCTGACAAAAAATCCCAGTCACAATATAAACAACTAGCTAAAATGTTCCTTTTACCTGCAAGGGATTTATGTACTTTGTTTTCTAATAGACTGTGGCATCGCTGCCCTCCCAGAAACAAAGGAAGGCCCATTAAATCCTACATTTTTTCCCTAAATGAATCATTTTTACATAGCCTTAAAACTGATACATTGAGTAAATACATTTTGAAAAAATGAGAATTGATGTTTCAATCACTTTTCCCTTACTGATCTTTCACACAAGCAGTGGCAAATTACATAAATCATTCAAAGCAACATAAGGACCAAATAGCAAAAAAAATAATACCAGGGATTTATCACATGTGGGTAGCTGGCATGCAAAAAGATGCTGTACTCAGCCATTTAACAAAACCAACTTAGTGCACTTAAAAATTGCAATCTGTCATTAAGTATTACTGTTAAATATTATGGACTATCCCCACTAGTTTTGGCCAGGTTTAGTTGGTCTGATTCAAGTGGTTTCACTGTTGCTGACTCACATAGATCTAAGTGCAAAGCCTTCTAAGGAATGGCTGAATCAGGTTATAGGACAGTCAACTTTAGCATATCTTAATGGCTTTTCCTCACACTTTTTTTCCTTATTGTAATTTTTATTCTTGTAAATCCAAGTATCTGTGGAAGTTGAAATTATTTTTGTACCATGAATAAGGAAAATACATTTGTAAAGCACTTTTTTTAAACTTCCAAAGGGATCAGCATATTTGTTAACAAAAATTAAGCTAGTGAGAAAATATTTTCCTTTTTTCTATAAAAGCAAACAAAATAAATGTTCTCTTCTAATTGCCTTCTGATCATTAAAATACAAAATAAGAACATAAAAAAACTGTTGCACTGGATCAAAACTTAGCACTGCCTAGATTGGTGTCCTCCTTCTGAGGGTGGCCAACAGGAAATACTTATGCAAGACTACAAGAAGAGGTACAGCAAATTTTCCATCCAGTGGTTGCCTCTGTGGCAGCGACATCCCAAGCCAGAGATATTTTTCTGAGTTTCTCATCCATATAACCTACTCAAACTCCAAAGAGATGAACTGTACAGTCACTATGAAATCAGCAAACTGGTTAAGCTCTTCTCCACCTTTCCCTGGCTCTTGTTGGACACTTACTTGTGGCTCAAGTTCTCCACGTCGTTTATATATGGCTTTTTCTCCAGTTAGCCCATCAATGATTTTGGCATCATCCAGCTCTCCAACAGCTTGGTGTCTCAGCCATTGTCTTTCTTTACCCTTGGCCTACAACAGAAAAGATGTGATGTGAGTGTGTGTCAGACAATGTAAGGCCTACTGCACATGACATACACATTAATTTCTTTGTAATGACGTGATAGTTTTGGCCTAAGTCAAAGAAATCCAAAAACATGTTCGCAGCTGTTCTGGTCTTCTCTGAAAGAAAAATCAACATTGGCAAATAACATGTTCCCTCTGTAACCTGGTGTTTTTTCAGTAGTTTCAATAATGGGAGTATAAATGGGAACTGCAAAAATGTTAACCCTTCCTCTTGCAAATATGCAAAAATGTGTGTGGAAGGCCTGTTCAGATACACATACAACTGAAGGGACACACAACCTGACCATTTGTTAGGTGCTTTCAATCCACACAGAACAAGAAAAAGCCATTGGGTCACTTAAAAAACTAAACAGTGTTCATTTTATCCACTTTAGGCAATGGTAAATGGTTGCTTTAAAAACAGAATTAACAGTATAAACTAATTCCATATTGAAAAAAACCCCTATTTTTAAAATCATGATAGTCAAGAGACAGTCCAATAAGCACTTCTTTTGTTTTAGTTGAAAGGACATTGGTTATGTACAGCCTGACTTGATGAAAATACATTACAATCCATGAACTCAAACATCCATGGAACTCCTGTACACAGAGCATGCAGTTAAGATTGAAGACTCAAGTGTTATAATATTATAAGCAACATATTTAAGCATGTTTTCAAAGGTTAGCTTCATCATACATAAGGCACAATAGGTTTATAATACATAAGATCCTCTAAAGACAGCAAAGTCTGTATATATGGGGTTTAAGATTTATTTAATTTGTTTAAATCTTTGTGTTAAAATTGCTCATCCTAGTAGTAAGCTGAACAAGGAAAGACAATTTTGAATTTGTATACATATAATGCTTTTGCCCTCTCAGCAAATTTCTGGTCAGCAACTGGAGGAAAATCAAATATCCAACAAGACTCAAACTGCCTTAAACATTGACTTTCAGGAATGAAAATCAATTCTTCTCTGATGAGCAGGAAGTCTTATATTACAAATCCTCAGTAAACTGCAGGCCTGGGATTTGAAAGGATGAATCTTTATAGCTCTGTACAGGCAGGTAATGACTTCTTCAGGTTCAGAGAATCTTTGATTTTGCTTTGGACTAAATGTATGAGGTTTTGTTTCAGTGTGTAGAGAAGGAGTTCTGGACTTCAGACTACTGCCTATAATTACTCAAGATTAATGGACTACTTGCCCATGAAAATCAGTGGGCAGAAAGACTACAAAGCCACAGAAAAAAATGTTTTGATTAACAAAAATCAAAAACTTTACAGATGTTTCCTGATGGGAAGGAAAAACAATGTTTCCCAAAAACCATGGAAATCTCAGCCTTTTAGTAAATCACAGCAGGGAAAATTGAAAATATTTCTGAGGTTGTGAATTTACCAATTGTGCTCTCTGATACATTTGCATGGTGCTGCAGTCAACTGAGCTTTAAGCCACTTTGGCAGCGGGGCATCCATGAGTTTGTTTGTACCACCAACTAGAAATTTCTACAGTCATTAAATATGCCTGGGATGAAAGTTAAATCCCTTCTTCCATAGGATCACTGATCCCTTTGTTGCCTTCAGAGTAGTGTAATATTCACCTGTGAATTCCCAGTGACCTCTAAGTGTCCCACCAAAATGACCTTTTAGTTTAAAAGCATTTACAATTTTAAGAGAAAACCATCACTAACATACACACACACACACACACACACACACACACCTTGTTTTGATAATATATATACACATCTTTGTCTGTAAATGTCAGAGAAAAAGTTGTGTATGTGATGTTATCACGTCTAAATATATAACTTGTAATGGTAGAGGATGTATTAAACACTGCCAGTTGTGGTCTGCATTTATTTCTGGGAAAACATTACACAAATGTTCCCTTAGCTGCTGAAATTATGAAAATACTACTGGCAGGGCACAGGGTTTTTCATACTTCCAGCTTTCCAAGCCATGCTTATTATAGGACTGCTACTATTTTACTCTTGCTGCTATGACCAGACTGTTCCTACATGGTCTAAATTCAGACAGTGCCCAGCAGGCTCAGTAACTCAGGCTCAGGTTTGCCCAGTTTAAATGTAGGGGCCTAAACAGTGCTCAGAAGCTACAGGGACAGTTGCCTCTAGTTCTCTCTGCAATAATCAATAATCAGAGTAGTACTTGCTGGAAAGCAAGTCACCTCACATTAAAGAAGGTCTTTCTGAGTGAGTGACTGACCACAACAATTTGAATTTGGAGTTCAGACAGACAAGCTTCAGGGGAGAGAAGAAAGAGCCCATCAGTGACAGGATTTCCTGGACTTCTGGCTTTGCTACTTCTACAGAATATAAACAAAAACTCATTATGTTTTGATAACATTGTTCAAAGAGCTGACAGAGATCAGCAAGTTATAAAAAGCAAAATGAACAATGAAATTACATTCTCAGACTATGTTTATGTAACACTTTGAAGGATCTGCCTATTCCAAAAATTTCTTTCTGCTGCTACTAACTTTTGGCAAGCCATAGACAGCTGGAACCATATCCCATAGCCTCTTGATTCTAGGGAGGTAAAATTTAATAAAATTAATATATTTTAAACAAACCCACAAAAATAACAATAAAAAGGCATATGTTAAAGGGAAAATACGGGAAACATATTTGGATTATGTGAACACAATTTTAAAACAATGCAAACTCAAACATTTTTAAAAAGCCAAAAATGTTCTCTACTGAGAAAGTAATTTGGGATTTTCACAAAGTTAAAAACACAGACATTCTGAGTTGCAAATTTTACTGCAAATGAACTTTTTCATTGGTTTCTTATTTGAGATATAAGGAATGACTGACTCATAACAGAAAGAAAACTGTTCTAGTCGAGAACTCAGGGTGTACACAGGACTATACAGAAAATAATGGGAGACAGATGCACAGCTCTTCTTGAGGGCTGGATGAATTACCATGCTGAAGAATTCAACAACTTTTTTTCCCTCTCAAAAACCTCACATGAAATGTGTTTGTACTCAGCTTCCTCATTAACAAAACACATTTTGCAACTAATTAACTCCTATTATAATTTATCTTCATTTTCTTAGTCCATCTTCTAAAAAAATCCTTACCAAAATCTATATAAAATTTATAAAGTTAAAAATTTTCTTTCACTGTTGCTCCTATTCTTTGCCTAGCTTTTTCAAATTCAGTAATTTGTTTTATTCATCATAAATTACATTTCCTAACTTTGTGGTTAGCTGTTACAGGTTTGGGCAGGAAGTTAGCAAAGTCTCATAAAATACTGTAGCTTATGAGACTTTGCCTTGATATTAAAATGACCTTTTTGAAAAAAGCAAGAGGATACGACTCCTTATATTAAAATATGTTATTTTTTTATTATGATTAACATGACCACTGAATGTAAGAATTTTGACTACAAGGGACAGATAAGACAGACTCAAAAAAATACTTTAAACTGAAGATTCACTTATTGACTTCATACCCAGATGTACTTCCAACAGCATGTGTGCTGAAAATCCACCTAGATATAAATGTTGTAGACAAAACTGAGATTTACATCCAATTCTTTTTCAACAGAGACCTGTCTTTATAAGCCAAATGTCTGTGTCCTGAACTGAAGCACATATTAAGTGCATGAATCACCGAATTATGCCCAACTTAAATGTTCATTATGGGAGGAATTCTCTGAATTAGTACATTCATAATAAAACTGGCTAATGGCTCTTTGTGTATATATGTGATTATAGTAATGCTGTTGCAGCTACAAGGTTTAAAGGTAAAAATAAGGCAAAGAAATATAACCCTTCTTACTTGCAATACCAGGGCACTGGATTTCTTTGTCCAGGAGAAGGCTGTTTATCATACAGACTGATTTCTTTCTGTATTTCAGTTTTATTGCTTAAGACACAGCATGGTGACTAAAAAACTAAGGTATATATACACTAGTGGTTAGTAGCTCTCAATAGAAATACTCACAATCAAATATGTCTTATAAGGAGTAAATCACTTTAATTTTCACTGAAGATTAGCAGATGCCTCCTAGAAACAATGCACTTACAATTTTATTTACCCTGTACATGAGCATTAGTTTTAAAAAAACCAGAACAACCACCATGCCAGTTACCAGAAGAAAGGCAAACTGATGGTTTTAGTGAGTCTCCACTTAGGAGATTTGGGCTATGCCTCTTTCTATTACCAAGAGTTAAAAAAACCTGAAAAAAACCCATGCTTTCAGCTGCATATGTACTAAAGCTCCTACCTGGAGTGGGCGCCTCTTTTAATATCTATAGCATTTGCACTTCACAGCTTGAAAACACTCTTGGACTGGAGGTAAAGACAAAGACTGGCTCTACACACCTTTACAAATTCTTTTCATAGTGTGTAGTAGTATTTTCTGTCACAAAACTGTGCTCCTGAGTAAGTACTCTCTGTAAGGTGTGGGATGGGAATAATGGAACATGTAGAGATGAGAACTGGGATTCGCATGTAGGCTGCCTTTTAAAACAGAAATATGAAACTGTTTTTCCTAACTGATTATAACTTGAACTTGGTTTTAGCCTTCAAAGGTAGACTACCAGATGTTAACAGGATATTAGCAGGATAGTATTTGGGCCTAATGCAATGACCTCCCTGTGTTCCTTTATCCTTTATCAGAGAATCCAAGATTACCTGCAGATTGTCTAAGATGATGCGGAGTGACTGAACTTGACGTCGGACTGCTCCAGAGAACCTTTCGTAAGTTGATGCATCATATTCACTCATCTGAATTTCTTTCAATCTAAAGGAAAGAACAAGGAGGTAAGAACAGTTTAGGAAACATGCATATCTTCCATTTACTTACTAAACTAAAAGTTTATTTACTTGGTAACAGGGAAATTTAGACTGCAACAAGCACGCAGAAGAGACGAATCAGAGAAGTGGCAGCTGCTCTTGTGAATTTTTGATAAGGCAGATGTTCACCAATGTCTACAGGAACTGTATCACATTAAAACTAATTTAGAGATACTAATATATCACTCTCTCCTAATATGCTTTAAATTTTGAGAAGCAAATCAGAGGTTCTGAAAAATGTGATCAAATTTGAAAGGTTTTGTTGGCTCAGGTGTTGCTATCTGCACATAAAAGGATCACAAGTTCATTACTTCACTGTTGGAGTATTTTAAACATATCCTGATTCCTGCTTCAACACAAAGGTTAAGGAAAATACTATAAAATCTGTCCTTGAAGACCTAAAAATAGTAACTGTTTCAAATACTTATCTTAAAAATAGTAACTGTTTCAAATACTTATCTTTGTGCTTCATTAAATGAAGAAACCTTGAAACAAAGAAGTTTTAAATGAACATTAACAAAAACGTGCTCCCCCCATAGAAAATGAGTCATGCACCATCCTGTCCAGAGGCATGTAGCAGAGAGCACACCTGCACCATGAAAACAGATACATGCTTTGTTTATAAGCAAAGATGTGTCCATTTCAAGTTCTGTACCACCTTTTGAACAGCATAGCTTAGCAGAACAGCTGAAATTCACCAGTGGAATGTAATTACAGAGGTCCAGCAGTGAAGAACAAGCTAGAGAACCGGCAGATATGCTGGGAGTGCTCATTGTTCAGTATTTGCCAGGACCCAACACCACTCAGAGAGGCAGCAATCATGTACCTGCCCACCCCACCCCCAGCATGTGGCTGGGTTCAGTCCTGAGCTAAAACATATTGGCCCATCTGTGCCCAGCCCATTTCAAACAAGCACTTCATAACAGCATAATCTCACTCACAGTGTTTAAAAAATACAGTGTTTTTCACTGAACTATAAATGGATAGTAAAGTATGTATAGGCTAATTTTATTTTTAATGGCAAATTTTTATAACACTATCACAAGTTAATTGCCTGGATCATGAAGTATACCTGAGAATTGCTGTTTAGACCAACCCTTTGAAGATAATATTAAAATCGAACATCAAATCTTTGTTGTCTCTATTATGATGTCTTTTTCTATTTGACGTTTTGCACACACATAGTCACTATAGGCAACTCTTATGCATTAGAGGCAGGAAAAAGTAACTTTCAGTGCTGCACATTTAATTTCATGAATCCTGCCAACAGAGTTCAGTACCATCAGATCTTTAAAAGACAAAAAGAAGCTCACACGCCCTTTTACTTTGTTGCACTCTACATAAATCCAAAGTGAAAGATAGTTCAGAAAAATACAATGAAAAATACTGCATCTATTCCAGAATAGTTAATTTCATTTTTGTCAAATAGGGCAATTTAAGATATTTACCACTAGAAATACTACCTAGCCAGGAAAGCATCAATAACTTTCATATGAAATTTCTCCTCTCCAGATAATCCTGTATAAACAAAGCAGTGAAATCTGCAGTTTCCTTTTTCTTTTTTTTTCCTGTCAGCCTGAGGACTACAACCTCCCTATTTTTATCTGTTAGTTCCCACAACTATACAAGTGATACAGAATAATGATCCAAGTCAAATGTGGTTTCATAATAGGCTACATGTGCAGCTGGTACATGCCAGCCCACTTGGGTTTTGCAGGACAGGAATTGTTACCTCATGCACAGATACCCAGATTTTACAGGGCATAGCTGTACTGTTCCCACAGCATGTAGCAGTAGCCAGGAATTTCCCCTTTTCTCTGTTTTAGTAAATCACCACATAGGCAGTAGAAACTCATCAAAGCTTGCCAGGTGGACATATGCACAGACAGATGTACAGTATCCAAGACCATACATATCCATAGTTTCTATTATGAAGCAGCTCAGAAGCAATTTTGAAGAGGGGGGACGCTTTTTTTAATATAAAATACCAGAGATTGACTTGAGAGTTCAGTTGGTGGAAGAAATATGAATCTCTGTGCATATTCTGGGAAAGAGTAACTGGTAATCACACATTACACTCATGCTGAGAAGACCTGCTGTTTGTGTTAATTAGCTGCTGAAGCTTAATAGTTCAAATTAGAGAATCACAGAATATTCTGAGGTGGAAGTGACCCACAAGGACCATCAAGTCCAATTCTTAAGTGAATGGCCCATACAGGGATCAAACCCACAATATTTTTAGCACCATGTTCTAACCATCTGGCTATAAAGCTTTCAAACAGAAGCAATTTGCTTGAAGCAGTCCATTTTGAAAGACACTTATTAAGTGATTAATTCCTAGCAACATACAATCTGGATTCATCATAATTCAAAGAAATTTTCATATAATCTATTTCTTTTAAAAAAGTTAAATATTTACCTCCATCTCCTTCTCCATCTAGCTGTGTTGTACTTTACCAAATGACACAGTCATTTTAACACTGTGGCTTAATAAAATAAAACATTCCATACATCTTGCCCAGAACAGCTAAAGAACATGTGCTGGTAATCTCTGTTGAGTGATAATGAACCAGGTAAGGGAGCTGATACACGCAGGTGAGAAAGAAAATTCTTTTCATCCATCTCTTTCAAATTCTACTGGGAAACAAAAAAGCAAAGAAAGACTTTCATATTACCTCTGTTTAAAGGCCTTTTCAGCCATCTCTCTAGCAGCTCTCTTAACTTCCTCAGGAACAGCGTCCTTTTCAGCTTGGGACACTTGGTAAACCCTGTGGCCAGCATCCAGTCGATATGGCCCACCTTTGCCACCTAACCCAGCAGTGTCTCTCCCACCTAAGATGGTTGAGATAAAAAAACATTAGGAATATACACTTGATAAAAATAAATAAGAACAAATTTCTTTAAAGCTTCCAGTGTCATCTACACATGTTCCAAAAATGTTAACAATCCCCAGCTGAAATATTTATTGTCAAAGGTTTTCAAAACCTAACAGCTATCATGGTAAACAAGAACTCCCATAGAATACTTATGTTTATAGCTCCTTGAGACTTGATTCATAATGGTTTTCACACTGTACAAAGGGGAACCACAGAATGTATAAATCTTGAAGATCTCTTGAAAGCTCCTGGTCCCAGACTCTGTCTTCTCCCTAGAATTTGTTGGTTTAGACTGCTTCCAAATCACATTATCTTGTGACCACTATAATGACTTATTAGAATTAGCAGGTACTTTGCATGTTCTGTATACCTCTTGCCTACACTTTCTGAATTTTTGCAGCTACAGGGACATTTAAGATAATGACTCAGACTAGTTGCTGCGATTGCAAGCTTCTTGTTCTCTGTATGGCCAGTAAAAGGAAACCAAAAAAATATAATTGAAGAAGAGATCTGCTGCATACAGTTTAAGTTAGACATTGCAAATACTTCTTTTCTTTTACTGGCAATAAAGCAACCCTATAATGGGTAAAATAGATCAGAGGACAGCTTTGTATAAAACCATTTTGGACTGGCACAGCATCTCCCTTAGATATCTTCAATGATGAATTTAAAAAAACAAACAAACAAAAACAATGAAAAACCTGTTCCACCAGCCCACATATTTCCACCAACATGTGGCATGTTGGCTGGATCCACTTTTCCATGTTTGGGGGAGCTGACATCCAAACCACTTTCCCTCTCAATGGTTATCTGTAAAAGAGAGAGAGATGTAAATATCTCTTATAGTAAAGAAAATATCCTAACAACCTAATAATAACTACTAGGTGTGCTGAGAAGCTGTAGGACCAGCATTAGTTCAATAAATGCAATAAATGCAATAAATGCATTCCACCTCAGAACAGAGCAGAGTAAAACAGGGCCCCTGAGTGGCACATTAGACTCACACCTGAACTAAGGCTACTGGCACATCTGAACCCCTCTGCATTCTGTTCATATCCACACCAGAAATTGCTTCCTGATAAGTGCCCAACATAACTCAAAATCGCCCTGCAGACAGAATCACCTGCAGTTCAAACACTTCTCAGAGTATTGTACATCCACAGCACTGCACATCCATTTACACATTCCATGTGCACCCAACTGCAGCCCCACATTCCCTATAGATGGGCAGATTGATGTTCCTTTCATGAACAGTGACTAAAGAGATGAGACTGGCCAGCAAATGGCCAGTTCAAATGACAGGCTCATGGAATTCTCAATCCTGCTGCCTGGACCCCAGAAGTGCTGCCATGTTGGGTTTCCCAGACCTGTCCGCTGACGGCACTTTCGCCACTGACTCACAGCACAGCTGGATGCCAACAGCTGCCAGATGTTCAGGGCTGAGTCACTTTAGGCTGGGGCTGGACTTAAGTGGGTGACTGAAGGCAAAAATACTCCTTCCCATTAGGCACTCTGAGTCATGTAGTAAATCAGTGAATCATGTGTGAACTGCCCCTTAGTAATCTTCTGTAATTTAGTGCCACATTATATTTTTTTAATGAAACCCAGTGACTGAGATAGAAAAGTAATATCTCTAACCACTTAAAATTAACTTCTTATCTACCATAATACATTTAATTCTCCAATGAATTTAGATGTCCCAATAACTATGATTTACTGCCTTCTCAGAAGTTCACTGGCATTATCAGGGTTTTCACTGTAGAGCAGTGAATTCACTGTCTTGCAGACTCAACTTCACGCTGACATGAATTCCATACATGTTTTTGAACTGAAAACATGTGCTCTAACAACACTGTCCTGGCAGCTATTCAAAACATCATTTTCTTTCCCTTTACAGAATTTATATCAATTCAAAGAGGTACAATACATCCTCTGTGAACCATGTCATTAGTGTAAAATCAAGATCTAATCTGCTAAATTACATCCATTTAACATTTGTATAGGGAGAAACATGTAACCACAACAGCATGCTACCCTTAGGGTTATATACTTGTTTTGGTTTAAGAGATTTCCTCTAAAATAAACTGCTCTTTTTTTTTTTTGCATCACTGGTAGATTTAAAAATATCAAAAACACTGGTTAACAAAAATTGCTGAATTTAGTTTACAACAAAATTATAAACACAACATGATAGTTTCAGCCTCATGAAACAAACTATTATTCTATAATGAGAAACATGAAATTAGGCAAAAATTTTACACGTCCATGCTTATGTATTTTTAATAGAAAAATATTTCTTCTTCAAAAGAAAGCTCTATGAAACAAACATAACTATAACCAGTGATGCAAATGTCACATTCTATTTTTGTCAAGTTTTTCCACTGAAAAATTTCACTAAACATTTTGAAATACAAGCATTGTTTAAATCTTCCGTGAAAAGGTCTGTAGACAAAAGAGCCTTGGTGCTCACAAAACTTTCTGAAGTGTAAATTGTTCACAAATACTGGCTCTAGTACACATGCACTAGAAAAGTTTCTAGTATAAACTTATTTTACAACAATATTGATCTGATTAAATCTGATTAAAGCAAGTACTTGTAACTTTGAAATGGCACGTGATTGATAGAAAATCTTCAATCTTATAATGACTTTTTTGCTCTCTTCTTGAAAAGATACCAAACATCCAACATTTTATTTCTGTTAAAACTTTGAGAAAAATTGGTTGAGAAAGAAGAAAAGAAACAAGGGTCACAATCAATCATAACTTCAGAATGTGAGTTGTTTGCTGTTTTTATTTTTATGTATAGTTAATAGCTGAATGGATAAAATAATTGAAAATTCAATGATACTGGAGTGGAACACCATCAGCAGATGTGTAAATGTCATGCCAGTGAATTGCATCACTTTTATCTACTCTTCTTTTAAGTATCACCTATGCAGACAAAAGGTAGTAGAATTTTGCTAACTCAGAATACTTTAACAGCCAATTTCTACTAGCACTGATTTGCTGGGGTAATTATTTTTCAAATTTACCATATACTTAGAAACTGCATTATATTAGCACAATGCAGAATCCTATAAAGAGAATCTTCTGGATATACCTCCCTGTTTTTTGTGTGAGCTCTTAGATAATTCCCTCACTGACTTGTCAGACTTTTCCCTTTTCCATTCCCATATCTGTGGAAGGTAATTTTTTACAAGTTTCAGGGTAATTTTACAGCCAACAAATTGTTTCTACTCTGAAAGCACCTCTATAAACTAAAACTTAGACTACCAAATACCTATATTAGAACTGAAGATGTATTTTACAAATAAATAAACAGTAAATCAATGAGCCATGACATGAAATCAGAGAGAGGATCAGGAAAAAAACTGATGAGAAAAACTTTCAGATAATGATAAATTCTTCAGCATGATGAATATAAAGAGATGGAAGAGCCATAGGTAAGTCACCCCTCTGAGGACTGGAGGAATTCTTGACATTAGAAACTAATGGAAAGGTAGATTTAAGGGGCAGAATCCAAAACTGGATGGATTAGGAACCTGAGAAACTGAAGAACACTCAGCAGGAAATATCTAGTTTGTCTAGAGTGAGAAGGAAGACAAGAAAAACAAGTATTAAAAGCAGAGAAAGAACTCAAGCAAACCTAAAATCCACACTAGCTTTGCCAAGTTTGTCTCACTGTAATTTCTACAATGAGTTTTCTATTACAGTTATGATGTGCATTTTTCAAATATATAAATGATTTCCTTACTTAAAAGCTGACCTGCCCCCTCCTGAATATTTTCCATTTGAACCTAATTGCAAGACTTCTAGGAACTTTTTTCCTTTCAAAAAGTTTTGATTAATCACCCCTTCTTGAGAGAAGTATGTGCTCTTCCTAGCTATACACGCACTGAAAGGCACTATTCATTACTGCACCATTGTGCAGATTCCATACTGCCTGGTGTGCATATTATGGCTTTGTGAAACAACACACAAATTCAGCCTTGCAGCCTTGAGCTGTGAGGCACAGGTCAGAGAAGAATAGCTGGAAAATCTGAATTTTTCCCTCTGAAAGTTCCTTTTGATTTCCAAAAAACCCACTATTTCCAAAACATTCAAGGCACACATATTTCAATTTTAAATTATCTAAACGTGTTTATATATATTGGTGATTCACAATCAGAGTGTGAAAGCACTTTTCCACTCCCTGTTTGGGAAGGTTTTTTTTTCAAAGTCTTCATCACACAAGTAGCACAACTACCATCCTCTCCTGGAATACACAATTCTTATTTTATTCTCTGTAGAGTCCTAATTGTCAGTAATCCTCAATGATCTTAGTCTCTGGTTTCAAATACTTTTGTTCTCTCATTTTCTTTCTATATTCTCTGGCACTTATAGCAATAGGTGATGGGCACCTTTATAACAACTTTGTGATACAGGCTCTGTAGGTCTTTCAAATTCAATGAAAAAAACAAAAGTTTTGAGTGAGAGAATATGAACAGTTCAGGTCAGAAGGATGCCAAAGGAATGTGCTTTCCTTAAGAGGCAATGGCATGAAAGGCTTAAGAAAAAGGAAGATTAAGAAAAACAACAAACACCATGACTTGTTAATGCTTTGACTTAATTTTCTGGTCTGGCCTCTTACACATCCATTAACTCCTGGCAGTAAGGGTAGCCAGGCAAGAATAGAACTAAACACTGATTTTACTTTCAGTGAGAGATACATGGCATCTGAACAACTTGCTCTAGATCAGTTCCTTCTGAAAAATATGAATGTATGACAAAATGCTTTTACATGGCTACACTTTCTCCCCTCTCCCTTCCCCGCCTCTCCTCCCCAGACAACCCTGGGATTCTAAGAGCAAACTGCAGAGGGAAAACGGATACAAACATATTCAGTTTAGAAACTAAGTGATCCTACCATCCTTCATGAAGAAGATGAAAGTCTGTTACATAACTTACCGCACTCAACACCAGAGTGAAAGCAGGTGTTTCACATCTGTGCCATACTTATGCCAAATAGCCATTAAACACATACCAATCTGTAATAGTGGCCACTGCAAAGATGAGTCAAAGGCTGGTACTTTTATCTAGACTTCAGCTGGTCACACAAACTATGGCATACTGTATACTAAACAAATCTGAACTATTTTGAAGTGGATCTCGAACCACATTCATGCCAGTTAAGTGAATGTGGGATTGAGTTCTATTGAATTCTGATGTGAAATCATCTAATTTAATAACACTAACCCCCGGAGAGTAAGGAAGCACTGGCACACTTTTGACACTTTCACAATCTCTCAGTAAGAGACAGAGGCTGTATTGAGGATCACACAGCTGACCCAGATACACTGCGCACTGCCACTACTACAGGACACTGTCACAGCTATGGGAAGAAAAGAGCTTACATGACCCGTTAGAAAATAACCCACAATAAAAGCGTGGGAATTATGAAGATGGATGCTGTACTCTATTATTAAAATCACTGATGCCTCACACACCCCCATATTTCATTCTAACATATGAGTTGTTTTCACAATACAGTACTTCCCTTTTGATTTCAGAATTCATTTGCTTCTAATGCATTGCAAAAAAATCTCTCTGGCTCTCTGAGTAAAACTGACCAAAAGCATTATCAAATTTAGCTTCAGCTGATTTTGTGCAGATGACCTTAATGACATTTTAGCATCCAGTAATCTTAATTGTACATTGCAGCAAAACTGAGAAGAAAAAAAAAATTAAAAAGAAGATTAATCATTTAAAGAGAGTCCCAAGCAGCACAATGTGCACTTCTGTATCCTAGCAAGTACTATTCAAAGTACATC